ATGCTTTCTGACCATCTGTGTGAGGTTTTCATTTGAAGACGAGTTTGTGTGTGAACCTAGAGTTCAACAGTCACTGACTTATGAAATACTGGGCATCTTCCAGTCAGGTGATGTATCTACATATGACCATTCAGAATGCCACTTATGGAGAGGACCAAGGCACTATGGGTTTAATGACCAGAAGACAACCACTATTATAAAATAACCAGCCTCCAAACAGGGTTAAAAAGAAGGTCTGATTTTTAGACAGCTGATACAAAAGGTGGATTGTATGTTGTCAAGAACTTCTTTGGTTCCATAGACTTCCTTCAGCTGGTGTATCACTGCCCTGACACTTCTTATGCCTGTATTATCTGTTCTGACTGCATGTTTCACACACCTGCCCACTCCCCAATTTCAATAAAATAGAATTATTTTAAAATATTTTAATGAATGATTTAAGAATTTCATACTATGGGTTTTGATTGTATTCACCCCTGTTCCCCATGCCCCACAGATGGACTACCTCAACTTCGTGTCCTCTTTAAAAAACAACAACTCAAGTACAATTTGAACTCAAATACTCTTGAGTGAGGGGACATCCTCTGGAGCATGATTGACCTACCAGGGGTCACACTCTTAAAGAAAACTGACCCACCCCCTCCCAGCAACTATCAATTGCCAATAGCTCTTTAGATAGGACTGAGATATGCCCATCTCCCCATTCCATTGTGGGATTTTGTTTGCTTGAGATTGAGGAAGTCTTGTGCATGATGTCACAACCACTACCAGTTCATATATGCAACTACCTGAGGGTGTCCAGAAAACATGGTTTCTTTGCATTCATCTACCATATCTGGCTCTTATAATCTGTTTTCCCCCTCTTTCGTAATGATCCCTGAGCTGTGGGAGGAGGGGGTATGATGTAGATGTCCCATTTAGGGTTGAGTGCTCCTGCACCTTGACCAGTTGTGGATCTCTGTGTTAATCACTATCTTCTGCATGAAGAAGCTTCTCTGATGAGGGGTGAGAAATAGTGATGTCATTAGGACTAGTTTAACACTATGTCTATTTAGTAGAATAATAGTAGTAGGTTCTCCCTTATGACCTATCTAACCACAGGTTATCAGCCCTAATAATTGTGTCAGGTATGAGTTCCATCTTGTGAAGTAGCCCTTAAATCCAATTAGAAATTGGTTGGTTACTCCCAAAACATTCTTGCCTCTATTGTAGCACTGGGTATTGCTTGTCAAGAAGGTTGTTATTGTAACTGGCAGGATTCATAGTTGGGCAGCGTTGATGATTACTTTTCTTCTTCAGTAGTGGGCATAGCACCTTCCAACACTATGAAAGCTAGCTAGTAGAGGTCAGTTTTAATACCAGTTTGATTTCTCCATGTTCTATGACTCAAGAATCTTCAGCAATAGGGTCTTACTGCCAAGTTCTGGAGTGTAAACAATAAGAATGACAATAGCCTATAATATTTTGGAGTGGTCTATGGGACCCCACTGGCCAACAGCTCCAAAGGAAGTAACCCATTCCTGAACTGGGATTTTTATTTCCTACCCCATGGTGTTTAGTGGGGACATTGTCTCCCCCCTCCTCATTATAGGGCAACTCCACTTAAACCCCTTTTACATATGTATTAAATTTTTGTTTTTATTTTCTGTGTATGAGTGTTTTGCCTGCATGCATGTAAGTGCAATGCCCCCAGAGGTTCAAAGCAGCACTGGAGCCCCTGGAACTGGAGTCACAGATACTGTCAGTCACCATGTGGATGCTGGGATCTAAGCCCAGATCCTCTGCAAGAGCAGCCAATGGTCTTAACTGCTGAGCCATCTCTCTACCCCCTTACTGTTTTCTCTTTAAAAGTATTTTTTATTCTTTGACAGTTTCATGCACATATATAGTGACTTTTGATCATATCCCTCCCACCCATTTATCCTTTCATCCTTTCCCACTCCCTCTCAACCTCTTCTGGCCAACAAGTTCCCCTCCTACTTTCATGTCTTATTTTTTTTACCTCTAGAAGCTCAACTAGGTGAGCTTACATTTTCTGTAGGGCACAGGTGAAGGTACACTGGGGCCATAGAAGAGCAATAGAAAAATGATGGGAAACTTCTTGGTGCCTGGGAGTGGGAAGTCCCAGTGTCAAGGTCTGGGTGCTCAGGACCATGTGTGGGGTAAAGACCACAGCTGACCATCAAGGGAGGTGGCAAGTCCATTCCTGAGAATCAGCCTTCCCAAGAGCAGAATCTGCAAATGACAAACCTCCCCCATCTCCAGTGTAAGCCCAACACAGAGGTAAAGTCACTGCCATGCACAGCGTAGGACCTTGGGGAAGGAGGTTGTGGGAAGTGTAGCTACTCAGAGAAGACTGAAACTGCTGCCCAACATTGGGAAGTCCTCCATCATGCCCACCAGCAGCAGAATGCAGAACCCTGACTCATGGTTGACTACCACAGCTCCAGCTCATGGGAGGGGTCATAATTTCAAATGCACTGGTTTCTACTATCTTCCTCTCTCCACTGCACTGTCATATGATTACACTTTATGTTTGGTTTCTGTGCAGCAGAGGCAACAGTAACTTGCTCAAATTTCCACTAGTGGGACATCAGTATTGGAGAAAACCACTTTTTGCTTTTGCTCAAGGAGACAGACAGATCAAGTGGTTTTTTCTGGGTTTTTGTTTGTTTTGTTTTCTTTTGTTTTTCATGGTCAAGGATCTGGGTGGCTCTTTTGTGTCTGCTGTTTTCACATCTTCCTCATGGTCAGGGCCAACAAGTGATGAGACACCTTCTTACTGGAGTCACACTTTAAGTCCTCTGATTGAAACATGAAGGTCATTTCCTGCCTAAAACTCCCCACCTTCATCGTGCCCGGGTCTGAGCCCTTGGGGAGCTCCCAGCCACTCTGAGGGGCACAAAATTGCCACCCATCAACTAGAGCCATTTGCCATGCCCCACCTCACTGAGTGCCAGTGAGAATTACTGCTGCCACCATTGCTCTGACACCCCTGGTCATGCCTTGCCATCTTGACTCCACAGTTATTTTCTTTCTTATTTTCCATGCCCTGAGCTCGGAATTTGAGAGTAATTATAAAAGTATCTAAGATCAGAAAAATATTCATCTTGTGTGATAAGGTTCCTCACATGGTTCAGCTCATGCATTCAGTCTGTTGGGAGCAGCCTGCCCAGGGCTCTGAGGCCAGCATTCCTCATTCCACCATTTTGATCTCTTGTTACTGTTTTCTTAATGAAAACAGTAATAATAGCTTACATCAAACAGACCTTAATACATTTTAGAAATAAGGTACTATGCAGGATGCTAGGGAAGAAATGACATTAGCGGTCTACCCCAGCTGTGAACCCTGTGAACTACCATACCAGCCCACCAGCAAGATGTGCCCACTGGTTCAATAGTGGCATGAGTGTTAGAGGGTCAATCAACTGCTCTCTGATTGGACTGAAGGCATGCTCCAAGGGAAGGATTTCAAGGCTGGTACTGTAAACATGGTCCAAACCTAAGGGTAGGAAGGCCATAAGCCCTAACAAGGAACTTATCACTGTTCTGTAGCTAAATTGCTAAATTGACATGGCATCAAACTGCTTTCTAAACATCTATGTTTATACCCATAGATAAACACTACCCTCAGCCGTATTCAGAGAAGCTTCTCTTTACAGTGAGTAGCAATGGATACAGACACTCTTGACTACTCAAGGTGCTGAGAAAAAGGGACAGTTGAATGCTTTATCCCTAAATAGGACATTTACCACTTGCTTTAAGGCTCAGAGAATATTTCAGAAAAAGGATGGAAAGAATTTAAGAACTAGAAAATAAGGAAAGACTGTGAGATGCTATCTTCTGGGCATGGCAGAAACATTGCAATCATGAACTCACAGCAGATGTGGTAGCCTATACCAGGTATATACAAGAGTGAACATGTCAACAGCCAGTCATAGGGCAGGGACTCCTGGGTACTTATTGCTCCTTGCTGAACTATTTGCTACTGAAGGATCCCAGCAGAGGAGGGCTAAGCATTTTCAGATATGTATCCATGGAGAGCCCACCATGGTACTCAGATGTCCATGGTACTCAGATAGCTTTTGCTAAACAGTGCGTCACAAAACACACTGAAAAGACAGCAACATTGGAAAAAGGTTGGTAGGGAGTCCAGAAATAAAAGAGCTACCAATCCATATATGAGAGAAAACGTTCAACATCTGTCTTTTTGGATCCTCACCACTATGACTAGGGTAAGATGAAATTTCAAGGTGATTTTGATTTGCGATCCTTTGATGGCTAAGGTTGTCGAGCATTTTATAAAATATTTCTCAGCCATTTGCATTTCCTCTTTTGAGAACTCTACTATAGTAGAAGTGTCTTAAAAATACACATATACATATGAGCGGCCCGGAGAGATGACTCAGCTGTTACGAGCTCTAACTGCTCTTCAGAGGACCTGGATTTGGTTCCCAGCACTTACATGGCGACTAACATCTGTCCTTAACTCCAGTTCCAAGGAATCTGATGCACGCTTCTGGCCTCCATGGGCATTGCATGCATGTGGTGTACTACATGCAGGCAAAGCTCTCATACACATAAAATAAAATAAAATAAAAAGTAAACAAGTAAGTATAAAAATAGTCCTTCAGACATTCTACAAAATTGAATGGATCATGATTGATATTTGACAGCAGCACACCAGAAGGACCTGAGCCATTATTAAAATGCAATAATTGGAAAATGTGTCTTCAGCCCTCCAAGTTTTACACACCCAAATTAAAACTGTCAGGCTCTACCTTCAGTTTTAATGATCTACTAACCTCATGGCTCATAGGCACCTCATGTTAAAAACATTCATCCTGTTTTGAGGTTCTTATCTAAGGACTATGTGGAGCAATCTGCTGTAAGTTTTGTTGCTTTTACGACTTGGTGTCTGAAATAGTGATGCCCTTTCTCCAGCTTCCCATCAAATTTTAATTTTCTGATGTCCAAGCTCAATCTTCTGTGCACCTCAGATCAAGCAAGTTGAGACTTTCCGACTTCACATAAAGAGGATGGAAGTCCCTGTTCAACCGAAATCACTTTCAGAAAATGGAAATTCAGAAAACAGAATTTCAGTCATCATCAGCTCTTCACATTAAGGGTTTGAAGTCTCAGAGGGAGCAAATGAAGTAGAATTTTAAAAGGTGGGTAAGGTGGGGTGGTAATTAAGGAGCCTCACCCTGGCTGGTAGAGAGCATGGTCCTTGCAGAAAATTATAGTTGCTTTCCTGAGAGAATCTTAGAAATAGGGTTATGCAGGATGTGAAAGTCAAAACACATGCCTTGGCTACTGTATGACCTTTCTTGACCTACGTTTTTATCTTATCTTAGGTGAGTACAACTGTCCTTTTTCTAAGCCTCCCATCCCATACCTATGCTTAAATATGCATTAAAACATTTTGTTAATATGCTCCAAATTTGCTAATAAATAAATAGATAGATAGATAGATAGATAGATAGATAGATAGATAAATGGCAGTTTTTGTCATCAGAAAGTATAAAATATTTAAGGGTCTAAGATAAGAATTTTCAAGAAATAAAACATATAAATAAGAATTCATTGCAAGTGACAGAAGAACCTCTCATACCTCACAAGGTGGTGAGTGGTTAAGTGTCCAATGAACATTCCAGAAAATGACTGCTGTGTGATATCAGAAGTTCATTATAAATTGGCCTAGTGGGGAACAGTTTTTCTTCAAAGGAACAATACTGAAATGTGGTCTTGAAGAACTCTGTAACATGCACCAAATGTTTGGTTAGACCCAGGAAACACACAGTTGCTTTCAATAAATTGTGGGTCTGCATTCTGTGTTTGGAGAGTCAATATGTTCAGGGAATGCATTCTGCCTGTAAAGAGTCCCCGCAGACGATGATGCTGGCTTCTCCACTAATGGGTCTCTTCTCCCAGGCCAAATGCACAGTATGCCAGGAAGTCTCAAAGGGTCAGTTAGAAATAACCCACTTGTTGGAACTGGGGTGTGTCTGTGGTGCTGGTGAAGCACCTGTACCTACCCATGACTGGATGTAGTTATTAGTCCCTCATTTTTCCAAACAGTAAACTGTTCACAGATGTTACTACAGGGGAAGAAAATGTCAGTGTTTATGCAATGACTCTGCTCTGAAGAAATCATTATGCTCAACTGAGGAAATGCCATAGTTATTTTAGAATTCCTTTAATTTTAGAAGTCTTTATTATTTGCAAGACTGACAAAAAGGCCTTTTATTTAAAAATTCCACAAATAAACATCAAATTTCCTGTTTAATACAGTGAATGTTATTGGTCTTTGAAAAACAAAGAATAGGCTGTCATTCTTGTACACATCTAAGAAGCTTAGAGACCAGAAGGTACCAACAAGTGAGAAACCTTGACAGATCAACTTGTATGTTACCCTCAGTCGGAGCATCTAACTAAAAACACAGTTGGTGGGGAGGTCCTTTTTTTCCTTCATCTCTGAAGTGCAAAGACTGGGTACTGATAAAATACAGCTAGCAGATGTTTCACAATCTATCTCTCTTTGGCAATCAAGAAATCCCACCTCAAAAAGACTATCTCTAGGTCTCTTAAATGCAAGCCTTTTCTGAGATGGATAAATACAGAAGTATGTATCTGGGTTCTTTATTTTTCTTATTAATCAAGAAAATATTTATTGTCTTTCAGGAAATAAAGACAGAAAAATGGAAACTGATGATTTTTTCCATGAATGAAATCCATGTCACTTGGAAGATTGAAGGAATCCTAGGATTAACTGAGGTCTCCGATTATTTTAGAGAAAAGTTGCCTCAAACGCCTTTCTAGGGTTTGTCTTTGTGGGTATGATGGGTAATTGGGATTTTGGGGTGACACTCAGTTTTTATTACTGATTGGCTACCTGCAATCTTTAATTCTTACTGAAGCTATACATAGCTTCATTGTAGCTACTGACATATGCTGTGTGTGATGAACAGATTCCTAAAGATATGTGACAAGGCAGGTGGATGGAATATGATGGAGCAGTTCTCATTGCATATGACATGTTTGAACAAAATTTTCCATGTTCCTGTGCCAACGTACCCTCTCTCCCCCAATGAAGGTCCAGTTTCCTTCATACTATAACTTGTGCCTCTATGTCCAGATCTTGTTGTCACTCTAAAGTTTTGCTGTTCCCCAACCCAAAATTAATGTAGCATTTCTGTCTTGCAAATTTGTTCCAGAGCAGTTCTAGCCAATAGAACTTGCTATGATAATGGAAATGTCCTACAATCTGCATTGAACCAATTTGTAGCCACTAGTCACGTTTGGGTACTGAGGACTTGAAGTGAATTGAATGCCACATTTAATTTTAATTAATTAATTTTGATATTGCAATAGCTACATATGCTAATGTTTATTATACTGGATAGCATAGCTTCCAACCATCCAATGCTGGCTGAAAGGCAACATATTCTGAATCAGATAGGCCTATTATCACAGATTTCTTTCCCTAGCCTTATAAACTAGTCCTCATCGTCGTTGTTGGTTTTCTACTATCCCCAATCCAATATTCGTCAGACACATTTTTCAAGCACATGCTTAAACATTGATTAAATGCCAATGCCAGCTATAAATGAGTAGATCTTGACTGTATGTTGAAGCACCTGACAAATAAATTCTTAATGTAACCAAATAATTTAGTCTGTCTAAATCATGGTTGCAAATAAACTTGGCTACTAAATTTTAGGGTTCTATACCCTAGCTTTATTTTTTTAAGTCAGTTATGTTCAAGGAAACATGGGATTTTATCCTATGGGATGGTAGACTTGACTACTTTGTGTCTTTCCTCTCAAGCAGAATAACCCTTTGTTATTGTGTATGCATGTTTTTTCCTTGCAGTATCCTGTGGTATAAAGAATAAGTTCTTGGGGCTGGAGAGATGGCTTAGGGGTTAAGAGCACTGGTTACTGTTCTAGAGGATTTGGGTTCGATTCTCAGCCCCAACATGGTTGCTAACAGTGGTCCTAACTCCAGTTCCAGGGGATCTGATGCCCTCTTCTGACCTCCACAGGCATTGCACAACATGGTTGCACTTACATACATGCAGGCAACATAATCATACATGTAAAAAATAAAAATAACAAGCTGGTCATGGTGGCACAGGCCTTTAATCCCAGTACTCAGGGGGAGGCAGACTCAGGCGGATCTCTGTGAGTTCAAGGCCAGCCTGGTCTACAAAGTGAGTTCCAGAAGAGCTGGGGCTACAGAGACACCATGCCTCAAAAAAGACCAAAAAATAAAATAAATAAAATATATTTTAAATATAATTTAATAAAATACTTAAAAAGAGTAAGTTTTTGTGGTGTACTCCCATTCTCTCAGAAAGTTTTACTTGTCCCAAGAGCATAGGCTTTGTTTTACAATGTATATTTGCCTTCTGCATTCCTTCCTTTAAGATGTTTATTATAAATATTAATCTTAAACAGATGGGTTTTACTTTTGTGGTGGAGTATGCATTTGATAGATACTATGAACACTTCTCTTGACCTAAAGACTTCTTTCTTTGGGCCAAGGCCCGACACAATATTTCCTTTCTGAAACACGCCTTTGTGTAGCTGTTTGCTTGTTTTCCATTCACATTTCTTCTGTATTTGGCTCCAATCATTGAGCCCTTTCATCTAAAAATGTAGCTTTTATATTTGCATATCGATATGCACATGCACTTCCTGCTGGGCTCAGCACTGCGCCTTCAAGCTGTGTCTTCCTCCGATTTGTTCGGCAATGTCTCTGTCTGCATTCTGTTGGGCAAAAATAATTCTGCAAAGGAAACAGTTCTTATTGGGCTAACAATTTGCTCCATCTTAGTTTGTCACACTAAATAAAATCTCTTCTTTGATTCAGTCAGTGTTGGTTTCTGTTCTTAGCATCTTTATTTTGTAAACTTTCAGTTATAATGGTTAGGGAAACCTTTATTTGGTCATCCACAATGTATATTAGTTAGCTTTTAAAGTCACAAATATGTTTATTATTGTTCTGGATGGCTTTAGTTGTCAGCTTGACACATCTGGGTTGGGGGAGCCTCAACTGAGGAATTACCTCTATTGGACTGGCCTGTGGCCATGTCTGTGGGGCATTTTCTTGTTTATTGAGTGATGTGAGACAGCCCAGTTCACTGTGGGTGGTGCCACCTCTTGTATAAGAAAGCAGGCTGAGCATGGGCCAGGGGAGCAAGCCAGTAAGCAGTATTCCTCCATGGCCTGTGCTTCAGATCCTGTCTCCAGGTTCCTGCTCTGAGGTCCTACTTTGGGCTCCCTCAGTGATGAACTGTGCTCAGGAAGATGTAAGTCAAATAAATCCTCCCTCCCCAAGTTAATATTGGTCAGAGTGTTTTGTCACGGCAATTGAAGGCAAACTAGAACAATTATATACTTTAATTCAGAAAGTATGTAATCATATGAATAAAAATATAAAGAATGGTGGGCATGGTGGAGCATGCCTTTAATCTCAGTACTCAGGAGGCAGAAGCAGGTGGATCTTTGTGTGACTGACGTCAACCTAGCTTACACAGAGAGTCCAGGCCAGCTGGAACTATAGCCTATCTATCTCAAAAAGACCAATATGTATATATTTACATACACACACACACACACTGTGTGTGTGTGTGTGTGTGTGTGTGTGTAAAGGAAAAAAGATCATAGCTTTACTGCAATCATCCTTTCCTTTCATATGCATATTTTCACATTAAAAATAATGATATGCATACATTTTAGTGTCTTTTTTTGGAATCAACTGCTTATTAGAAGGCCTTTTCCATACTGTGACATAGTCTCCACAACCTTCCTTTTTTATAACATTTTAGTGGTCACAGATTCTCCACTCAGGCATTATAACTTTAATTGAGACATTCTTCTCTTGGATAACATTTGGAATACACCTGTAGTTTGAGCTTGATAAACAAGATTCCTAGGAACATCTTTATGCTTATGATTTTTTACAAAATTGTTGTGGGGTGCCTCACCAGAGAAAACCACTCAAAGTTTTGTTGAATGAAAGTCGTTACTGACCAGGGTTACTACACAAGGGTGTCAAGAACCCAGGTGCGTATTCTGAGCCATCTCTAGGGCAAGCTTTTATACAGAAAAATCATAACCAGAGGTGAAAAGCTTAAGTTCCCAAGCTTACAGGTAGAGAGCCTCCTTAACAATTTCTATTCTATTAGAAATTGCAGAAGCAAGCCAAGCATAACCTACAGAAGCCATAAATCTGCAATTAGCAAATACACTCCCAGACATGCTGACCTGTTCCCAAGACAACCAGGGTTCAGCTGACATGTGTTCCCATAATCTTGGCCAACTGCCTGATAATTTCAGAGACTAGAGTCAGCCTAAACTTTAACATGGCATAGCTATGGTCAAGAAGGTGCCCTGTTACAAAATGTTTTGAGTGTGAGAGTCTTTATTTCTTGAAAAGCTGTTTATCAATCCACATTTATATCTAACAGAGTTTATTTAATCTATTCATTATTGCTTTCTCACAGTAGTTTAATCTTAAAATCCTAACATCAGACAAGAGTACAACAGTTAATAATTATGACAAACTAGTTTCCATCTGGGAAGACAGTTCAGTCAGTAAAGAGTTTGACATATAAGCATGAAGACCTGAGTTAGGTTCTTAACACCCATGTAGAAAGTTGAGCATAGTGGCACGTGTGCTATGTCAGTCTGGGAAGGAAGATAGTGCCCTGTCTTCTTTGGGGCTTGCTGATCAGCTAGTCTTGGCAAGTCATTGAACTCCAGGTTCAGTAAGAAACCATGCCTCAGAAAATGTGAAGAGCAATAGAAGGTCCTACTTTGACTTTTGGCCTCCACACACAGGTGCCTACACATGCACTTGCACCCACACATGCACATACTATATATACATGCACAAGCATAAACACAAAGAAGAGTTTCTGTAATGCCACTCATTAGTCCTGTTATTAATAATTTTTTTCAGATATGCTTCTTTGAGTACTAACTGCTGACATGCCAATTAAGTGACTATTACTAATTTTCTTCATCTATTCAGGTCACTATAACAAAATAACATAGACTGGTTAGTGTTAAACAACAGAAATTGATTGCTCACAGCATTGGTGGTCTACTAGTTAGATTTGGTGCTCTCACTTCTGTGGCCGGGGTTCTATTTCCCAGTCTGGGATTTAAATTGGGAAATTGAGAAAAACAGGTATTTAGAAAAAGACCAATGATGTTTCCATCCAAGTGTTCTTAAATCAGGAGTTAGGATGCCAGGATCTAACAGTCAAACAAAACTTCCACTTGATTAAGTGGCTCCAGGTTCTAGTTTCATGAATTTCAAGAATGAATTCCACAGACCACAGGAACAGTGGGATTTTAGGAAGCAATTTGTTGTAGATTTATAAATGGGAGAGAGTAAGTAGAGATCCTGTATTTTGGGAATGTATCCCAAAGATGGTGTACCACTGAGGACCCCCACTTTGGGGGTTAATAAGCCATTTCTGGGTTGAGGCATGGGGGGTAGACTGGTCAGGCCAATCAGTCCACCCATAGAGTGTCCAGGGGCCTCTCAATTTTGGCTACCTCATTTTCAAGTACAGCTTCCAAGGCAATGATGCTCAGTCAGGAGAAAAAAGATAACAAGAAACCAGAGAAGAAACCAGAGCCCCCTTCTTTGGTTATTGGACCACATAAGTGCAGTCAGTTGTAGGAGGTTAGGTATGAGACCAACAGCACAGGCGCACCCTGCTTCCTGTTGATGAGCAGGAAGATGCTGACCAGAAATCTGCCCTGGCAGCTAGAAATCAACAACACATCCACAGCTCCAATAGAAGGGCGCCAACAGGACATAAGGGACCAATGGGAGGAGGGAAGGGGGTATAAAGGAGATGCCTGTGTTCACAATAAACGAGCTCACTTGCACATTGCCTAGTGAGTGTCCCAGAGTCT